CTCCTCCTCCTCCTCCTCTTCCTCCTCCTCCTATTGCTGGGGCTGTAGTGCCCTCAGAACGCCCACCTGTATCAGGAGACGCGTCACGAAGGGGCAAAAGTGGCTTCAGTTCTAAGCGTGGACAACGAGGATCTTCCAAGCCTGCCAAGTTGAAAGGAGACGACCTTCAGGCCATTGAGAAGGAATTGACCCAGATCAAACAAAAAGTGGATTATCGACTGGAAAGCCCGGAAAGAACTGAAAAGGAACAGTGCCAACAAGCAGACCTGTCCTTCTCATCCCCAGTGGAGATGGAGAATGAGACAGGAGAGGGGCAGACCACCAGCTCCCCGAAGAAAGATGAGTCTGACGTGAAGACGGAGTCCGAGGGGGTGCGGAGGACACTGCTGAAGAGGGGGACCTACCGGATGAGGATGAAGATGATGATGATGAAGATGGGGGTGACCAGCTGGCGTTGATCAAGGATGACGGAAAGGCTGAGGAGGGAGAGGATGACGGAGAAGTGCCAATGCAAGGATGACTCTTAAGCACACAGTGGGGTTTGGAAATGTTGTCCCGTTATTTCTTTATCCAGGCGCTTGTCTGAGATCAAAATTTTCACCAGATCCTCGCCCTAGTGCCTTCAGCACATGCTCACTGTTCTCCCCATCTCGTCCCTCCGTGCCCATTGATTCACATTGCCCTGCGCCCAGTCCCATGTTCACTTCCTTTGAGGCTCCTAGTAGTTATGTTAAGTCTTAACCCTGTAATTTTTGCTTTTAATTTTGCTACCTCTTTATGACTTAATAAAAAGGATGTATGGTTTATTAAAGAAAAAACCCCCCGATGGTTCCAGGAGGACGCCTATCAGCCAGGTGCCTCGGGCCTTCATCCTTCCTATATTTGTCAGTACCAACCTGCTGTCATCTCCGCAGAGCTCAGAGCACATCTGTCGGGGTGATGGGGGAGGAGGGGGGCAGAGCCGCCTGGACACAGCTGGCCCCTCCCGGACTGTGCTGGGCGCTGCTGGCTAGCCCAGGGGTTCGAGGTGCCTGCCCCTCACTGTGCCTCCAGGTGCTGCCTCCTCCCTGCGCGGGCGGGGCCTTCCTCATGGCTCGTTAATCAGCGGCCAGGGGGTCACTTCCTCCTCCGGTGCCCGTGTCTCAGGTCCTGCAGGTGTCGGTGGTCGGAGATGCCCTCCACCTGCGTCCGGGCCAGCAGGGCGCCGAGCGCTTCGTGCGTTGCTTGGTTTGGGTCTCTCACCCCCCGCAGCAGGTGTCGGCGTGCCTCCGCGTGGAGGTGCCGACGTTGCCCCCTCTCTGTCCATGTAGGCATCGAGATCGCCAAGCAGAAGGGAGCAAGGTACCGGCTGGGCCCAGAGCTGGAAATATGGTGAGAGCAGAACTCGGGAACACGGGGGTGGGGGTGGGGGTGCAGGGAGGTGTCCGCAGCCTCGCCCCTGGGCCACACCTGGGCGCTCTGACTTGACCGGCCCGTGGGCTGCGTCCCCCTGTCCCCGCTTCACCTTCTGTCCCCTCCCTCGGCAGCGGCTACGGGTGCTGGGATCACTATTACGAGTCGGACACCCTCTTGCATTCTCTGCAAGTCCTGGCTGCCCTCCTGGAGTCCCCAGTCACTCAGGACATCCTCTGCGACGTGGGGATGTAAGTGCTGATGGCGGCCCTCAGAGAGAGGCCACAGGGGGAGGCCACAGGTGGAGGCCACATGAGTGGAGGTCACAGGTGGAGGTCACATGGGTAGAGGCCACAGGTGCAGGCCCACAGGCGGAGGCCACAGGTGGAGGCCACATGAGTGGAGGTCACAGGTGGAGGTCACATGGGTAGAGGCCACAGGTGCAGGCCCACAGGCGGAGGCCACAGGTGGAGGTCACAGGTGGAGGCCACAGGGGGAGGTCGCATGAGTGGAGGTCACAGGTGGAAGCCACAGGTGCAGGCCCGCAGGTGGAGGTCACATGATGGGCCTGGCCTGGTGCTGCCCTAGTGTGGATCTGGGCCACACGTTGCTAACAGCAGGTTGGTGGGCCCGGGCTCCCGTGCACAGGCGCAGGCTCACAGGTGGAGGCCACATTAGTAGAGGTCACAGGTGGAGGTCACATGGGTGGAGGCCACAGGTACAGGCTCACAGGTGGAAGCCACAGGTGCAGGCTCACAGGTGGAGGCCACAGGTGGAAGCCACAGGTGCAGGCCCTCAGATGGAGGTCACATGATGGGCCTGGCCTGGTGCTGTCCTAGTGTCGATCTGGGCCACACGCTGCTAACAGCAGGTTGGTGGGCCCGGGCTCCGCCTGTCTCCCGTGAACATGGCCGCCTTTGCTTCCCTCCCGCGGCATCTGCGTGCCTGCTCCCCCTCATCCTCGTTTTTGCTGTGACCGGCCACGGGGTCTCTGAAGCACACGGGGGGCTCTGTGTTTAGTGAGGCGCCCTCTCCCCGCAGGCCCGTGATGCACCGGAACGTCCGCTACAACTGCAGGGTGATATTTCTCAACAGGTGGGTGTCTGGGCTCCAGGCGGGGCTGTGATCCGTCCCCGGGGGCGTCCTGGGCACCAGGCAGGCAATGCCAGCGACGCCGCCTCTCCCAGCCCCTGCCCCCCCACGGCTCCTGGGGAGTTAGAGACCGCGGGTGAGGTTTGGGGACACTGGGCCCTGGAGAGGGAGGTCCGTCGCACGCGGGTGGGCTTCCCTACTGCCCCCCGCGGCCCCATGGAGCGATACCTGCGGTGTCAGGCTCTGTGACAGCCCCCGCCCTCGTGACCGGGACTGTGGTCTCAGGGGCACCCTGTCCCCTCCTGCAGGAGGATCCTGCTCATCAGACCCAAGATGGCCTTGGCCAACGAAGGGAACTACCGTGAGCTGCGCTGGTTCACCCCCTGGTCCCGGAGCCGGTGAGTCCCTGTCTGACGCGCAGGTGCGTCCTCCGGGGTCTGGGCGGCGTCTGCATTCCCACGGGAAGTGTGCAGCTGCCTCCCTGGCCGCCCCTGACCTCCGTCCACTTGCGACAACCAGAAGGTCGCTGACATGAGGTCACATGTCCCCCGGGGCAAACTGTGTTGCAGGCTCAATTCCGCCCTGGTCAGGGGTGCGTGTGGGATGCAACCGATCGATGTGTCTCTCTCACATCGATGTTTCTCTCTCTGTCTCTCTCCCATCCACACGCTCTCTAGAAATCAATGGAAAAATATCCCCGGGTGAGGATTAACCGAAACAATTAGGATTTAGGATTATTATATCAAATAACGTTTAACCTTCTCATTGCAGTGTGAATAACACACAACAGTGTTCGCTTTTAGGTGCTTAGCTTTGGGCGGTGGAGTGCATTGGTGCAGGCGGCACCAGCGGGCAGAGGGGACGACCTGCCCCACCTCCGGCCCCCAGCAGGGGGCAGGGCGGACCCTCCCAGCACGGGCTCCATCGCTGGGTCTCACACACAGTCATGCGTGCGTGCTTCCCCAGCTGGCTCCTGTGCAGGTGCTTGTGAGAGCCGTCAGTGGTTCATTCCTTTATACAGTTCAGCTACTTTGCTTTTTTATGGAAGAGCTAGATGTCTGGTGCACAAAATTCATGCACAGGGAGGGTCCTAGGCCTGGCCGGCACTCGGGGCTGACCGGAGCCTCCCTTCCCCAGCTGCTGGCTGCTGGCTGCTGGCCAGGGCCTTCCTTCGTTCCACGCTGCCCCCTGGTGGACAGAGCAGGTCATAGCAAGCGATTGAACTCCCAGGGGACACTGCATATCGGCCTTTTATAGATCGATAGATAGATTCGGTTTTAAACGTCACTGATGACTCCGCGGGCCTGATGACAAGCCAGGCCCCCTGCACTGCCCGGTGCGGAGCCCTGCTTCCCGTCGGTTCACTTCTCCTGTCTCCAGGCACCTCGGGACGCGCCTCTGCATTTTTAAAACATGTTTTCGTTGATTTCAGAGAGGAAGGGAGAGGGAGAGAGACAGCAGTGACCACGCAGCTCAGGCCCACGCTGTTTCCCTTGCAGGCAGACGGAGGAGTATTTCCTCCCTCGGATGATCCAGGAGGTGACCAAGCAGGTGAGGCCGGTGGGGGACCGTGTGGGGCGGGAGCCCTCCCGTCACAGTCACAGTGGCCGGGCCCCCGTGAGCCCCGTCGGGCCAATTCCGACCCGGGGATGGGCTACTCCCTAGTGACAGGCCAGGCGCATAGAGGAGGGCGGAGCCTGGAGGGACCCTGGACCAGTGAGAGCTGTTATCATAGCCGTGGTGACGCCCGGGGCAATAGCAGAGCTGAGCCCGTGCGCTGCAGCCACATGAGCTCCGAGCAGCTCCCAGCTCCAGCTCCGGCTCCGGCTCCGGCTCCGGCTCCGGCTGGTGACCCTGAAGGGCAACAGGGAAGTGCCAGCTGTGCCAGCCACCTGGGCTGGGAGGGTTCCAAGCTGAGGGCGCATTAGGCCTCAAAGCAGAACGGCAGCCTCATGATGGTCCTCGGGGGACGCGGGGTCCTAGGGCAGCTCGCAGCCCAGACGGGTGGCCACGGCCTCCTGCTCTGTC